GGTACTTATATGCTCAATGCTTTCAAAATGATTCTGAATTTTCTCCTTTACAACATATAACTTAATGTCAATGTATTTGGCAGCACACTTGACCTGTTGTCATAGGAGTAAACTACTTTAAATGGTTATTGCTGTTGTCTACCATTGTTAATTACGGATATAAATTCCCTTAACCACTTTTGTCTGTCCCTGAAGCCTCATAACAAACTATACTATGTGTATGCATCATTAATGATACCACAACGGTTTCTTTGGAGCTTTTCTACAATAAAACTCCAACCGCGAGTGTTAGCAACTACTGTGGATTTCACTACACATCTCGTCGAAGTTTAATATTTATACCCACAACTATTTGAGAGTACTTGTTCTGTCTTACTCAGCATGAGGCATATAATACTTCGCAAAGTTGCATGATATTTTTAACTCCATTCCAGTGATCTATATCTGGACTGGACTTCTACCAAAACATCCCGGATACGTGAGCTACGTCAGGGTAAGTTCTTACTTGTACTCTCATTAAGCTTCCAACAGGTGAAGCATATAGAACCATGTTCATTTGATCGATCTCATATTGGTTCCTGAAACACTTAAGGTTTCTAAATCTATTACCCTTGACTATAGGAGCAGGCGTAAGCTTACTCGTATGCATACTTTATTTCTTTAGAATCTTTTCTAAGTATGCCTTTACGATAGTCCTAATACCCCTTTTTTATATCTCGGTGAATTTTAATTCCTAAAAACAATGACGCTTCACCAAGATCATTCATATTGAAACTTGAAGATAAGAACTTCTTCTCCAATAGCAAATTAACATCATTACTAGTGAGTAGGATATCATCTATACACAGGATGTGGAAAAATGAATTTTTCATTCTTGAACTTTGCATAAACGCTATTATCCTTCTCATTCTCTTTAAACCCAAACTTTTTTATTGTTTCGTTAACTTTAAATACTACCGTCTAGAGGTTTGTTTTAACCCATAAATGGATTTCTGCAGGCGGCATCCCATACGTTCTTTTGGTTCCACGATAAAACCTTTGGGTTGTGCCATGTAAGTATTTTCATACAAATCCTCATTGAGGAATACCGTCTTTACATCCATCTGATGTAATTCTAAATCTTAATATGTCACTAACGCCATTATTATTCTAAAAGAATACTTACATGAGACTGGAGAAAAAACTATCATTGTAATATATTCATTCTCTTTGCGTAAAGCCTTTTGCTACAAGTCGTGCTTTATATCTTTTCACATTCCCTTTGGATTCACATTTAGTCTTGTAGACCCATTTACAGCCTACTATTTTGGCTTAATTAGAAATTTCTTCTAAGTCCCAAATATCGTTGGTATTCATCGAATTTATTTCAGCTTCCATAGCTTCTTGCCATTTAGACGAGTGAGCGCGTCTCATGGCTTCTTCAAATAAGGTGGAATCACCCTCCATTTGAATTTCTTTACTAACATAGACTTCATAGTCATCAGAAAAAGCTGGTTTTCTAATTCTTTGAGACCTTCTAAAGCCTCAGCTACTGGCACTTTCGTATGGGGCTAGTGTTGGTCTTCATTACCAAGAGACAATTGATTCTACAGGCTCCTATATTATAAGATCCTTGTTTATATTATTCATCTTCTTCGAAGAGCTAACAACAGGTGTTGTATAAGTCATACAACATCAATAGGTATTGAGAAAATTATTGTTTTTGAATCACTAGAGTGGGCACGTAGTCCCGTTTCTCTTCAAGTCTTAGGTCTCTACATACCATGCTTCCCCATATTATCCCATCTTCTGTAAAGATATTGTATCTTCAAATTTCTTATTTTGATTTAATCTGTTAAAACCTCAAATTGCGCTTTAAGCACTGCCTTAATATCTCTAAGGCTCTTCTAGTATGAATTTTGGCTGACTACGCTATCTTCATATCTGAATTGTAAAAGGTACATGAATTTAGCTATTTCTCTGCTTAGGGGTATCGTTATTATGACCGTTGTACTCCTCCGACGGTCCTATTTATCTTAATTAATCTTTATCTCACTCTTAATGAAGAGTATTTTTTAATTGATCTTTATCTTATTTTTCTTAATTATATCTTTCTTAATTGATCTTATAATTTTCCTCCTCGAAATGTGACATAAACTTTACTGCCATAATTTTGAGAACTATTCAGAACTCCTGTGAATGAGGAGACACTTATGACTTACTTCATTCACATGATTATGTCATGCAACCAAAGTTATTTTTTAATTTGTATAGGAGTACACTTTCATCATTCCACTTCAAGAACTCAACAAGCAGCCTGTTCGTTTGGCTGTGGCTTGTCGTAAATGATCGTAAATTTTCAGCCGGAACAGTATTTTTCTCTCACACAAACCAGCCAGCAATACTTCTTTATAAACCAGTAACGATACGAACCAGCCAACCGAACAGGCTGAAGGTCTTTTATTAGTAGTACTTCTGCAAGTCACGCTCGCATGTTTTTCTTATCTTTTGATTAGTATTGACCATGACGATGCATTTCTATTGTGTCATGGTCAATACTAGAAAAGCATAAGAGCTACCCCCAAACTTATCTCCCTATGCGGGATACACAAAAACATATAAGTCATCATAAAACTTCTCTCGTCATGCAGGATTGACTAGCATAGGTACTATAACAAACTTCTCTCCATGCGGGATAATTCCCTAAATAGTACGTAAATGTCGGAATTAGCTCTTAGGACACAAGAAGTGTTTGAACATTCTAAGACATTAAATTCAGAAATAAATTCAAATACTATGTAACATACATGTTTAATCTTGCAACTCTTATCATAATGATGGAAAAAATATACTATTTACGGTAACGAAAACTTAGTCATGACGATAAAATATTCACTTATACTTTATTTTTGAATTAAATCTTCCCTCGGGTTACAATTTAATCAAAAAATTTATAAATTAAGCAACAGGGGAAACTTAAGTGAGAGAACTGCTAAACTCATTTTGACCCAAAACAGCCCTAAATTGGCTCAACTCATTTTGAGCCAGTTGAGTTCCCTTTTTACATTTGTCGTACCGACCAAAAGCAGAACGACGCAAAAACTTTTCCTTCACATAGCCCAGCAGAGCAGCCCGTTGACTTACAACTGAGTGATCTCGTCGGTTAAAATAAAAACATACAAAGTGCTTCTGTATTAATTCTACATCATCGTTGGGCTAAAAATAGAATTAATGCATAAGACTCATAAATAAAAAATTATAATATTGCTATCAGCAACTTTGCTATCATCAACTTTGATCAGAAAAATAGCAATATCATAAATATAATATTATTCTACATTAATTCCACATCATTGTTGGGCAGAAATGAAATTAATACATGGAAAAAAAACTCATGAATAAACTTATAATATTGTTCTTAACTTGAAAAACGTATAACTACTCTTCAAAATTAAATTCTCCCATTGGTTCGAATTTAATTAGAGGATAATCAACATCATTGCAGTGGAAACATGAAAAATAATCTTAAAATTAATATTATCAGAAGCATTTGTATGTACTTAACTACTCTCTGAACAAATTCTCTCGTTGGTTCAAAATTTGAGCAAAGATTGAACTTCAAACTCAACATAGAATTATCAAACAAATGCTTCTGAAAATATAAAACAAATTCTAAAATTACTGTTCAGTCGGACCGAAGCCTGCTCGGCCCAGAGGCCTGCTTGCACGCGCGTGGCCCAGCGGCAGAAATGGCCAGTGGCCCACCAGCGCGCGTGGCTCTCCCCCGTGCTGAGGCCGCAACCTGAGCCTAGGCCGGGAATATGTCTTCCCACCTAGGCCGCTTCCAGGCCGAGCGATTTTAGCCATTTGTTTCATCCGACGGTCGTTCGTCATCATCGCGGGAACAAAACGGCGTCGGGCCATCGGCTCCCCAAAAAACCCTAGTCATTTCCCCCTCTGCCTTCTCTCTCAGCCCCGCAATCGGTGGCGGTGCCCACCGGCAACTGCAAGGAGGTGGCGCCGCCGCCTCCGCCGCGAGTCTCCAGCCAGTCTAGCCGAGCTTTCTCCCTCCCCTTCTCCTCTGTTCTAGCCCCGCACCGAGCGAGATGTAGCCGCTCGTGGCTACTAGAGAAAAATTGTGGAGAAAAGTGGTGGCGTCGCTGCAAGCCCCCTCGCCGGCGTGCGCGTTCGCCTAAGGCTGAGCGCGTCGCCGTTGAGCGGCCTTGCGGCGGTGCTCTGAGCCCGCGCGCATGGCACTCGGCTCGGGATCACCTCCCTCACGACGGCGGTGATGGAGCGTCGGCGAGCCGGCGTCTCGAGGTTTCTTCCCGCACGACGGCGGTATTCTCAGAGGCGGATTATGTCTGGGTGAGTCTCTAGGGTTAGGGATTGGGTTTCATGATTTGAAAACTTCGAATCACCTCCTTCTAATTGCTTCCCCGATCTACATCTATACCCCAACCTGGCTCCGATACCATTGGTAGAGAATTTAGGATCAACTAGGAGTAGATCTAGCGGGTTGACTTCACTAATTTGGCATAAACATCATATAGTTCATCGATGTGAAACCTAGAGAGAGAGAGAGAGAGGCCCATACCTTAGGCTTGGCAGAGGAGGTAGAGGAGGAAGAAGTCGCCATGGCAGTGGCGACGCAATGTGGAGCGGTGGAATCCAAACGACGACGGCGCGCCGGTGGTGCTTCCCGTCACTGTAGCGTGCCCGCGATCGGATGGGGCCTTATAGGGTTTGTTAGTGGGTTAGTGGCGTCAGCCAACCTCGTTTCCCACCTTTCTATTTTATAGCGCTGTATGACAGGGGCCCGCCGACCAGGAGTCAGTTGAGAGTTGTGATGATCCTGATCCAGTGATCGATCCCTGTACCCCTGCAGGCTGCACGCGGCCTGCCTTGTGCGATCATGTAGCCTAATCTAAACCAGTGACCGTGTGGTTAGCGCACTAGCTTCTACAAGTGTGTTAGCATAAGAGATCGATCAATTCATGATGGCCTCCTTGTCCTTGCCAATGGCCATGACTGGGCTCCACCGTGCGCCGTCAACAACGTCGAGGGACAGGCACGGCGGCACAAGGCAGAACGGCGGCGGCCGGAACGAGGACCCCTTGAACTGGTGCGCGTGGGCGCACCAAGGGCACCGCCTGTGGGTGGGCATGCCGGACTCGTTCTGGGTCTACACCTACAAGGTGGAACGGTGCCCGTTCCCGGGCAACCACGTGTGGATGTCGTGTCCGTACGCGCACAGGGGCGAGCGCGCGCACCGCCGCGACCCGAGCCGCTTCCTGTACGCCACCGCGTCATGCCCGGAGTACGAGGAGTCCAAGAGGCAGCTCCAGCCAGCCGGGTCCAACGCGCCGCCCACCTGCTCGCGCGGCCTTCGCTGCAGTTACGCGCACGGCATCTTTGAGACGTTGATGCACCCGACCAGGCTCCGCACCGTGATGTGCGACGGCGGCACTGACTGTCCGTGCAGTATGTGCTTCTTCGCGCACTGCCTCGCGCTGCGCAGGCGCGAAGACGACGAGGTGCCACTCGTCATCTTCCCCGCCACGCCGCCGGCGGCGGGCCTTCGTCCTGCGCGCGCCCCGCGCCCGCCCGCGTCGGTGTCCTCCCGCTCCTAGTCAGGAGCTAGAAAAGCTTAGGTAAGGATCCATCGATCGCAAAACCCGTGGATGGGTCCACAAACACGCGCGCACTCACACACTATAGCTTTTGATTGATGTTTGTTTCTGCCTGCGTTACGTCATGTGACGGCGGCGCAGTGCATAGCGTGCATGCGTGCGTTTGGATGGATCTGCGTTGCGCCAGGTGGAGGTGGTCAGGGCAGCAGCATTGCCTCAAGGCCCGTGCTCGTGTACACCGGCCGTTCGTATAGTATAATACGAAGTGTCGTGCCCTTTGTTATGAACTTAATAACTGGATTATTACAGGATGGAGTTTTGGACATGTATTATGGTATATATATGGTGGATCTGTCTAGCTATGTATGATATACGTAATGGTGATATATATGTCTGTAACTATGCATGTGTGGGCTTGTATGAAATGATGAATAGTATGTGAATTAACAAATATTATTATCTAGCTTGAGTACAAACTTAGATTGTTCTTGTGTTCTTTTTTATGAGCATTTGCTACGATTTTTTTTAAGGATAAACAGGGGATGAAGTATCCCCACCTGAATTTCCATTACACGGATGCTATGCACCAAGGATTGTAGTTTTTTAGGCATCAGGGCACTGGTTATATGATGTACTAGGCCAAAAGCAAATCGGGGGAGGGCTGAGAGGTTTCTAGATTACATCATAGTGAACATTGGACATCATGATGTAATCTAGAAAACCCTAGCCCTCCCCTGATTTGCTTTTGGTCTAGGCCATCATGTAATGAGGTGCCCTGATACCCACAAGAACTACTATTCTCAGTTTATACATGCACATCAGTTGTAATGAAAATTCAGGTGGGGATACTTCCACCCCCATTTATCTTTAAAAAAAATCAAACCAAATGCTCATAAAAAATAACACAAGATCAATCTAAGTTCGCACTCAAGCTAGGTAACAATATTTGATAATTTACATATTATTCATCATTTCACCAAATTCATACAAGCCCACACATAGTTACATACACATATATAGATCCATCACACGTATCATACACTGCTAGACGGATCCACCAAATATATACCATAATACATGTCCAAAAATACATCCGGTAATAATCATTCATAATAAAGGACACGACACAACTATACTATACTATATATTATACAATACGATCGATACGGCCTATGTATATGGGGCACAGGCCTTGAGGCGATGCTGCTGCTAGCGTCCTTCCTTTCCGGGAATCATCGGGTTCGAACATTCGGACCCGATCCCTCTGTCGAACGAGCGCGGGAATCGGCGGCGGTGGGAACTCGTACGAAGCGAAGGCGCGCCTATAGGTACGGTAGTCATTTGTTTTCTTTTCTTTTCTATTTTTCATTTCTCTTTTTGTGCTTTATTTTTTATTTATATTTACTTTTTGTTTTATCTAATTTTTATTATCCATTTCGTTTTCATTTTTATTTTCCTTTTATTTATTTTTGTTTTGTTTTGTTTTATTTCCTTTTCTTATTATTTTTTATGTCCTTTCTTCAATTTATTTCCTTTTCCTTTTTTCATTTTTTATGTTTCTTTTATTTTTTTCTTTCCTTTTCTTATTATTTTTCATTTCAAACATTCTTCTTTGTTTTATGTGATTTTTTGTTATTCTTTTAATTTTTTATATTTTATGCTTCTTATATTTTTTATTTATTTTTCTTTTATCCTTTTCTTTATTATTTTTTATGTTCGTATGTTATAAATGTAATGTTCTATTTTTATATTTTATTTTCTTTTTTTATTTTGATTGTTTCTTTTCTAATTATGTTTTTCTTTATTCATGTTTTTTATTTTTTAATCTTTCTTTATTTTTTCCTTTTTATTTTCTTTTTCTTTTCTTTTCTTTTTTCTTTTCGTGCATCATTTATTTTTTATTTTCTTTTTAATTTTTATGTGTTTATTTTTTTTGTTTTTTATATTTTTTAACTTTATTTTATTTTCTTTTCTTTTCTTATTATTTTTGTAATGTTCTATGTTATTTTTTTGTGATGTTCATGTGTATACATGTGATGTTCTATGTTTTTTATGTTCACGTGTTATATATGTGATGTTCTATGATGTTTTTATGTTCACGTGGTATGCAGGTAATGTTTTATGATGTATTTTACGATGTTTATGAAATATACATGCGACGTTCTCGTAGTATACATGTGATGTTCTATGGTGTTTTTTGATGTTCACACAGTATACATGTGATGTTATATGATGTATTAGTGATGTTCATGTAATATATATGCGATGTTCTATAATGTATTCAGTGATGTTCTATGGTGTATTTAGTGATGTTCACTTAGTATACACGTGGTGTTCTATGATGTATTTTGTGATGTCTACGTAATATATATGCGATGTTCTATAATGTATCCAGTATGTTCTATGGTGTATTTAGTGATGTTCACTTAGCACACATGTGATGTTGTATAATATATTTTAGGATGTTTTAAAAAGTATCCATATGATGTTCTTTTAATTTTTTTCTATTACGTGTTTTTATTTTTTTCCTTATACTTTGCTCTATATTTTATTATTATTTATTTATGTTATGTATTTATTTTTATGTATATTATAATATCAATTTCATGAACTTAAAACTAGAATACTATTTTTCTAAAAAGAAAATATTTTTCTTACGAAGATATAACATTATTCTCTGAACTTAGAACATCGTCTCTCCTCAATAAAAGAAAGCATTTTATCTTTATGAAATTAATGTTCATTAATGAATTTTATCTAAATATATTCACATGTGAACTTGTTTTAAAGTATTTATTATAAGAAATACAATGGTGCAATCGGAATTTAATTTAGATATTCGGTTTAATAGTTATGACTTTTTTTAGTGTGTACCACACGCAAATCAATGAAATTCGATAAAATAATCTATCCGTTCTCTACTCGATCTCACTTCCTGCGCGCCTGCTTTCCCGCGCGCTCGCGGGTTTGGCGGGAATATTCGGCCGGAAAGCGGCCGGGCGGCTGCTACCGTCCGATTGATCGGACTCTAGCACGCCCCCTTCCTTTCGCCGTCCAGAGCACCTCCACCTCCACCTCCACCTGGCGAGGCGCCGATCCATCCAAATGTACGCATGGACGCCAACGCCATGCACTGCGTCAAAAGCTATAATGATTGTTTGTGTGCGTGTGGACGAATGCACGGGCGGTAATTACTTGTGATCGATCGATCCTTACCTAGCTTTCTACCTCCTCACGATGTCCATGATGAGGTCCAAGTGCGGGTAGCCGCTGCCCTCAGCCTTAGAGTCTGCCTCGGACGCGAGGCAGCAGCAGGTGACAATGGCGACGAAGTCAATATCCTCGTCGCCGACCAGCGACGGCGAGGCCTGCAGCAGCGGCGTCGACAGCGGCCCCGGTGCCGTGGCCGCAGCAGCAGTTGCGACAGCGGCAAGGGAGGAGGAGAACGACGAAGCGCCGGTGCAATCAGAGCGGCGCGTAAGCAGGCGCACGCTGCGGCCCTGCTGCATGGCCTGCGTGACTCGGTCAACCGGACGAGAGATGACCGAGACTGACTGGGAGCGGGAGCGGGAGCGGGAGGATGAGGACGCCGACGTGGCCAGGCGCGGGGCGCGCGGGATGAAGGCCGGGGGCGGCTGCGTCACGGGGAAGACGACGAGAGTGGCACCTCGTCGTCCTCACGCCTGCGCTGCGCGAGGGAGTGCGCGAAGAAGCAGATTCTGCGCGGGCACTCGGCGCCGCGCTGGCACATGACGGTAAGGAACCTGGTGGGGTGAAGCCACGTCTCGAAGATGCTGTGCGCGTAGCCGCAATGGAGGCCGCGCGCGCAGGTGGGCGCCGCGCTAGACCTGGCCAGCCGGAGCTGCCTCTTGGACTCCTCGTACTCCGGGCACGACGCAGCGACGTACAAGAAGCTTCTGGGGTCGCGGCGGCGCGCGCGCTCGCCCCTGTGCGTGTATGGGCACGACATCCATACGTGGTTGCCCGGGAACGGGCACCGCTCCACCTTGTAGGTGTAGACCCAGAACGAGTCTGGCATGGCCTCCCAGAGGTGGTGCCCTTGGTGCGCCCGCGCGCACGAATTCAGAGGGTCCTCATTCCGCCGGTCACCACTGTTGGGGCGCGTGCCTCCATGGCCGTCGCTGGACGTCGACGGCGGACGGCGGAGTCCAGTCGTGACCAGCGGCAAGGAGGAAGCCATCAGGAATTGATCGATCTCTTATGCTAACACACTGGCCAGAGCTAGCTAGTGCGCTAACTACACGGTCACTGGTTTGGATTAGGCTATGCCGGTATGCATGAGCTTGCCGAGGAAGACGGAATTTATCAGGAAACCGTATGATGGTGGTGGTGGTGGTGGTGGTGGTGAGGTGTATTCACTAGTCTGTAGCAATGGTGAGATCGATTACCTATGGTTTTACCATGTACCAACCATTATGGAAGCAAACAAGGTGGAATCTGTGTATTGTGAAGGCCGGTTTGTGTGTGAGTTGATGATGGTTCCGAGGCCCCGATCGAGGCATGTATTTATAGGGGACTCAAGTGCTTGCACTGGCTTGCGTGTGTTGTCTCGTACTCGATCCCGATGTAGCTTCAAGATGGCGCTGCAGGAGACTTTTCTGTGGATGGATCATATATATCTCCAGTGACATGTCCCTGACAGATAGATTCCTCGGCTGCTTCTCCCAGAAGACGTTGTGTGTAAAGATGCCTTATGCCCTTGTTTAGTTGGCAAAATATCCCAAAATGTACTGTTGCTATGAAGTAGCTTAAAATATGAGCAATAGAACTTTTCAGGGGGTGTTTAGTTCCCAAAATCTGAAAACCTACTGTACACCATTTAATGAACTGCATGCAGCTTATTAATGACATGCATGCATGAACTTGAATGCAAGTAAGCAATGTTTTACATCCACCCAGCCATTGTCAACAAATGCATGTCATTGCTGGGGTCATGAAGCATCATCAACAGCACAACAATGAACAGAAACCAACAATTA